AAGTGCCGACCTCGTACGAGAGGCCGGCCTCGTGATCGCTTAATAAAGTCGAAATTAAACCGAACCATCTTTTCATTTTCAGTCTTTTGCTTTCGACATTCTTTATCTTAACCGTTGACCGAAAACGCTCGTCAACAAGTTCGATACATGTTGATTTATCATCATAACTTTTAACAATATATAGTATGAATATTTTATTTTTTCTTTTTGAGTTAATAATTTCATGGATAGTCAGTAGATGATTTGTTGGTTCGATATCATAGTTTATATCAATAACATTACAAATATTTTATATTTCTATGTAATCTTATAATTTTCATGATAGTGCAATATATGGCTCATTGGTTTATCATAATTTATAACAATGCAGATTATAATAGTTTGATTCTTTATAATCTAGTATTTTACATGTCAACTCAACAAATGACCTGCTTGCTTCAGTGCTACTACCGTGCGCCCTGACACACCTAGCAAGATGTGCCAAGGCAATTTAAAATTAACATTTTACACAATAAAATGAACATGTGTAAACATGTTCATTTTATTGTGTAACATGTTCATTTTAAATTGCCTTGGCACACCTTGCTAGGTGTACCAGGGCGCACCTAAGTATTTGCGTGCTTGCTTATCACTTTATTGTAATCCTCGGAATATTTGTTTACTTGTATTTTTATATTTTTTTATAGCATTCACTTTTAAACCCACGAGAGACGAATATACTAATTACAATAATAGATTATTTTATATTAAATATATTTTCTTACACACATTTGTATTGTATGAATAATGTTGACACCTCGTTAGACGAATCACGAGATGTCGCGGGAGAATAACGCATTAATCCAACTACGCGTAAAATAGTAGGATGAGAGACCAACGTAGAACACCTCCGCGTGAACCCAAGAGAGGAGCCGACTTCATCAGCAGGCCGAAGGCCGACGTCAATATGAAACTGAGGTTTGGGATGCATGTCAATCAACCCCGATACCTTTATCATTATTTATGAGGGCTACCTGCAAGGTAAATCACCCTAGACCATTCAATCACATTTACTGCCGCCGAATCAATCTCAAAAGACGAGCCTGAGGTTACTATAAATAGCAACATTTATTCCTGTACGAGTATCTTTTACCGACACATTTAATACGCACAGAAAACAATCAGTTCAACATAAAACCGACTTATTGTATAAGAAACCCGACTTCATAATAATAAAAATCAAGCCAATTTTTAGCTTCCATCTATTTAATTCATGTGATTATCGTTGTTAAATTTCACATAACAACAAATAATTTGCGAGTAGTTATTTATTTTTAAATCATTATTAACTTATAAACTTAAGTTTATTTTATATATAACAAATTAACTAATAACCTTATACTACTTTAAAAGCAATTAATTTATCTATACGTGGCGTATTGAATCGAAGATTGTAATATAAAGATAATTTAGTATCATATAGAAAAAGTGGATAACAAATAATTTTATTTAATTCTAAAAAAAAAAGAAATGATGTTAATACTTAATAAAAAAGAATGGAAGAAAAAAAAAAGCAGATAAGGATATGGAAGAAAAAAGGCCACAGTTAAGAAATCTATTAATATATAAAGAGGGAATGATATTTATTTGAAAAAAGATCAAGAAAATCAGCATAAAAAAAGAATGCATTTCCCGCCTAAAGACAATATAATGAAACTAACGATTTTTGGCAAAAATTTGAAATCTGAGCGCAATCCAACAAATTTTGAAAATTTTGAATAAAAAAATAAATTAAAAAATCTAAATAAAAAGATTACATGAAGATTTTTTTTGAGATTCCATATTATCTAACTTTCATAAAATAGGAATGGACATTTGTCCTATTTTCATTGGTCCACTATAAATTTTATATGAAGATAAGTATAACTCAAATTACTGATATTATTTTATTTTAAAAAATAAAATAAAAAATACTAAAATTCGTATTTTTTCATACTCTATAAATATAGAGACCATTCTTGATATGTTTTGGAACATAATTGAAATTATTATGTTGGGTTAGGTTGTAGATAAAACAATATTTGTAGATAATATTTATTAAATAAATAAATAAATATCAAATAAATATTATACTATCTTTATTAGGTCACCAACTAAAAAATAAAAAAAATAAAAAAATATCAAAATATGCGACTCGGGTCAAATTGTGACCCTGGATTGCAACCTAGCCACAAGGAGGGAGAGAGAAATGAGGTGAGTGAAATGGGGCAAGTGTCCCATTCTTATTGATCTATAAATTTTTCTATAATAAGATAATTGTAATTCAAATTATTGATATTAATTTATATGAAAAAAATAAATAAAAATTTATTTTTCATTCTCTATAAATAGACACCACTCTTGATATATTTTAGAACATAATTACAATTTCTATCTTTTCACTCTTTGTTCTTAATCGCAACTTATCAATTTTATCATATCTTTTATTTTATCATATCACAACTAAAACAATAACAAAAAATTATTGTAGATAATATTTAATAAATATATAAATAAATATAAAATAAATATTATGTTGGGTGGAGTTAGGTTGGGTTTGGGATAAAGGACTTTTCTACTATGTCTTTTCCAGATATGGGTAGTATTAATTCAAGTGCGAACCGTCTGGTTTTGGATGAACTTAACTATGACCGTAAGGACCTACCTATTGAGCATGATGCATTGCTGGCACATATGACCGATGAACAAAAGGGTGTTTATTCCAAAATAATGACATATGTTCATTCCGACAAGGCCGGCGTGTTTTTTGTGTATGGTTATGGTGGAACTGGAAAGACATACTTGTGGAGGACTTTAGCTGCTCGGCTAAGATTGCACGGTCGAATTGTGTTTTGTGTTGCATCAAGTGGAATAGCATCTCTCATGTTTCCGGGCAGACGAACTGCACAATATTCTCGATTTGGCATTCCTATTTCTGTTCATGAAAATTCATCGTGTGAGATCAATCAGGCTAGCCCCCTTGCCAAGTTGATTATTCGCTCTTCACTATTGATCATATGGGATGAGGCCCCAATAATGCATAATCATTGTTTTGAAGTTGTTCAAGCATCTTTTAAGGCAGTAATGGGAGGCCTCGACCCGACAAATCATCATAAACTGTTCGGAGGCAAGACTGTTGTGTTTGGTGAAGACTTTCTACAAATCCTTCCGGTAGTTCCAAAGGGGAGTCGTCAGGAGATTGTTAATGTTGCTATTAACTCTTCTAGCATTTCAGGAGAATGTACTGTGCTTAGGCTTACAAAGAATATGCGTCTTCAGAGCATTGGCGTTTCGAATGAACGTGACGAGTTGGCCGCTTTTGCTGATTGGATAACGAGCATTGGAGATGGAACGTTGGGGGTAAAAATGATGGATGTTCTTCGATAGACATACCAGATGATCTATTACTTGAGCCATCCGATGATTCAATTGCAAAAATTGTTGAAGGCACGTTTCCGATGTTCAAGAATGCAACCGACGATCCAAGTTACTTGAAGGATAGATACTTACGCCAACACTCGATATCGTAGAATCTATTAATGAATACATGTCGTCGTTAAATATGACTGAGGGACACACGTATTTAAGTTCAGACAGTACGTGTAAATCCGATTCCAATACCGACTTTGTG